CCCCCCCCCAGAATAAAGCTCCTCCTGGGCGAGGCGAGGCGTCCAGGTGTGGTGGCCCCGCCCTGGAAAGCCTCTCTTTGGGGCGCGAGCCGGGTTCCCGTTCAGGTCTCCCCCTGCCCGTTGGGCTTCTTTCGGGGACGTGCTGGAGGTTTCCCCCAATTCATGACGGGGAAAACCGGTCCAGTCTCAGCTCGGCTGTGTCACGCTTGTTCCCCACCGCCCTTTGGGCCGGGGCCAGAGTGGGCAGATCCCCTTGGAAAGTCCGCGGATATCTCCCTGACCGTGAAAGGGGAGCGATGAGCGAGTCGCTCATCACTCGCACCAGGTTGGGGAGGGGGCGCCTCGGCCGGCCGCCGGCGGAGCCGGGGCTCAGGCTGGGGTCTGCCTCGCGGACCGGGACGAGTCAGGAGCGAACCCGCGTCGTCGCCGAGTTCAAAGCGCCCGAGAGAGACGTCCCCGGGGCACCGAGACAAGTCCTGGGAGCTCCCACCTGCGCCACGTGTCTGCTAGGAGCGGGTTATCAGTGTGAAGACAGACCCGCACACAGCGCCCCGGGGAGAGGAGCCCTCCAGCCCACTGGCGTTAGTAATATATATGTATAAAAGGTATCATTATACAGCCCCACAGGGCTGTATGAAGGGCAAGCTAGGAAGCGTGTCCTATCAGGCAAGCAGACGGAGCTCCCCTCCCGAGGGAGGGGAGAAGGGAGGTGTCCAGCCCTCCCTGTCGCACCCCCATCAGGAGAGAAATGATTCGCATGGTAAGTTATTTTACAATAAGCCACTCCTAGATCGCATCCATTGCTTTTATTACCCAACACCCCTCAAAACAGGGAGGGAAAGGACTCTTCCCCAGTCACATTGCACTCAATACTGTTACAAATATTGGGGAAATATGTTTCCATGACTGTGTTTGCTTATGGGCTCATGAAAGTGTCCGAAATATATTCTTCTTAAAAAACAAAACAACATCCATTTCCCCAGACCTCCTCATCGACCCTCCCCGAACTGCTCCCCACCAGCCCCCAGGACGCAGCAGCAGAGCAGGCGCCGTCCTGTGACAGACGCGCCGAGCGCTGCTAGCAAAGCTTCCACGTGCTTCCTATGGGAGAAAAAAGCACGAGAACCGCAACCCTGCACGCAAGCACTTACTATCTCCAATTACACCATTTCTTATAAGCATTTATTAGTTTTGATAGACATAAAAAGGAGCCTGAACTAGAGGGCTTAAGTCGCCTACACATTTTAAGTTTCCTGACTTTACAGCATTTACATCATTCCACTTGCAACCATAAGCAATGGATGCTGTGGCTTTAAATCTGCATTCAGTTGGTTATACTTCAGTCTAATATTTCTCTCTCATTATTCTGGTAACATGGGGAGAAAAAAAACAACAACTTACCTGAACTGGCAGTAACGTGCTTGAGAGCTACAAGCAGCACCAGCCCTAGCAAAGACTCTGTACATCGCACTCGTCTCATTCTGTAGTTCGTTCTTTCTTTTCCCCCCCTCTTTACTTGTTGGCTTGGCTGGCAGGTCTTCGCCAGCTTGTCCTTTATGTGCTTTAAAAAAAAAATCAGGGGACCCTTGTAAAGCTGGACACTGTCTGATTGCAAATGCATGTGAGGCTAGAGTAATTTGCAGAATTTCAATGTGCTGCTTAGGGGAGTGGCTTAAAATGGGGTGATTTTCAAACCTTTCGACATCATAGAATAGGGCGGGGCTTTTGAACGCATGATGTGACATAGGCAAGTTAACCCTGCGTGCTTCTTGGGCTTTCGCAATGCTTCTATTACTACTCGTAAGAGTGTACAGAGCCCGGGGAAGATCTCCACATCAATCCAGGATGTTTAACCACATTTTCCCCTTTATGTGAGTGTTTACGAGCAGGAACTTTGTTAATTGCTTAAATGTCCTGTAAAGATTGTCTGCAAAAGCAGCTAGGTAGATTTCTTTTCAGGGACTTCCCTTAACTACAACAGTTAAGCTAATTTTCGGTGTTTGCCTCTTATTAAGGCTAGTCAAGTGCTTTGGTTTCTGCAGGTGAAAGGAGTTAGTGAAATGCAGGGCAGTGGCTATATGTATTGATTAATAAAGGGATCACCAGTAAAGATGAATGCTCCAGTAGGGTAAGGCTGTTAACAATTGAGAATAAGTTCATGCTAGCTGATATCAGCCCAAATAAGCATCTTGGTGCACTTGGAGGAGCCCAAGAAACAAGCCAAATTATATTGCATTCTCTTAGTTCCCAGTAGTCTCTTCCAACAGCATGAAGCGAAGCAAAGCAAAACAATTTTCTTGCTCACACTGAAATAAAGACTATTCTGATAAAAATTCAATGCCTGGACACATTGCCTTTAATGCCTGTCTTCTGCAGAGAGTCTTTATGTGGCCTTAAAGAAACAACTGGTCCTGTCTCTGCTCACACCCACCTGTGTATACCACCAAACCCTGCACTAAAATGAGTGGAATTTGGCTTATGTGAAAAGGGGCGTAAGCAAATGCCTGTAAAAGGCCCATCAGATTGGTTTACAGGGACAAGTGCCCACTTTTTTCTGAGCTGTTAGCCTGCCTCTGTGAAGCAGAGGTTCAGGCTGTTATCTTGGGGGTTGGCATTCCATTTGCTGCTCCCTTCTCATTTCACCTTTGCTTCAAAGGATCCTCCCAACATCACAGTCTGCCTGGACTTATTATAAAGTTTTTAATGTTGTAGTCAGGGATACTTCCAGAAGCCAGAGAAGTGTCTTGTAGCTTGCTTTTTTAAGGGGGGCAGGCTGAGATAAAGTGAGCCTGGGAAGGGAAGGAAAAAACCAAGGAAGGTGAAATGCTTGTAAAGCAGCCCAGAAACAGGTTTTTCTGACCACTATTCTCTTCTCTTCCCCTCTACCCCACAAAGTCTGAGGGGTAAAAGATTCAAACATAAAGTACATGAATGAAACAGAAGTTGCAAATGTATCTAAGAGAAATGCATGGTCAGGTGATTTTTTTCTTTCCCGTGGTACAACAAGGATGTGTCCCCTTCCTCTGCAGTTTTGGCTTAAAGATAAAGAGCTGAAGGATAAATTGGAGGCAAAGATCTTCCTAATTCAAGTAGCAGTAACTTCTGGGTGACAGAGAAACTCATCACAAGATCTTTAAGATGGAGACCCCACCAGCTCAGAGCAAACTCAGGAAAGCTGGTTTTAGTTAAAGGAAACTATTTGCTTGTTCCTTGTCTTATCCTGAGGTGGTTGTAATGTTGAGGGGACTGAGGGGGAGGAAGACACAGCCACACAGACTCCCCTTCCTCCTCCCCACCCCCATGGTGGGTCTAGTGCCTGGTCTGGGACTCGCACCACATATGGGCTCCCCTTTCCACAACTGATCCTGGACTAGGTTGCACACAGCACCCATACCAGCCAGTCCAGGCTAGCACTTGTCCTGGGCCCTGCATTTGGGACCAGTCCAGTGACATGTGGGTCAACCCAGACGCAAGGGCAGCACCTGGGACCAGATGCCAGCACTCCATGGGCTGGATCCTAACACTCCTGCCCTAGCACTCTTCATTGGCAGAAAGACTCTTTATGTTGCATGTTCTGCATCACCACCGGGGAGCTCTGCTTATATACCTACCTCTACAGAGAAGAAGACTCTTCCCCCCTTTGACAACAAAGCTCTGGGAAGGAGAAGAAATTGGATGAGCAAGTGGGTGGGAAATTAGAGGTGCAGACCTGATTTGCTATTTGTCTACAAGGATCAGTTGGACAAATAACACGTGGTTGAGGAGTATAGAGCCCTCATTCTGGATAATTTTACTGTACCAGAGTATTGTGCATATGATGAGCATCTTGACAGCATGGTTTGTTCATGTCCTGCAGGTTAATGCTGACTCCACCCTACTTTCCTTTAAATGTGTATGCTGTTCTCAGTGACAGCAGTGGCCAGAGCAGCTAGCTAGTATTAGGTAGTTTCTGCCAGAGGAGAAAATGATCAGAGGAATTGGACATTTCTAGAGAACAAGCCTATCTGTGTCCACAGGGGCAGGCAGCTGCAGTAGTTCTCTTGCTGCAACTTCCCATCCTGGCCTTGCTGTGCTATTAAGGAGCCTGCTCCTACCTTATGTACAGCCAACCAACAGACCAGCAGCTTCATGTGTTTGCACCCAGAGATGCTCTTTGGCCAATGTAGCATCATTCTGAACTGGTTTCACCCCAGAACTGACTGCCTTGAGTAGCACCTTGCACAGATCTCCAGCTATGTTACTCATGATTGCTGTTTTCATTTAGCTTGGAAGAAAGCTGGTTAGCAAGGCCAGTCCTTTGCACTTAGCAGAATTAATTCTCACCATCTTCTAATGACTTAGCAGAACTTCCCATGCTGATGAAAGTGAGACTCATTTGGCACTGCCATGGTTTATGCAGCTGTAACTGCAAACTGATTTCAGTGCTTCACAATCTGTGATTGTTACAGCAACTTCTCATCTGGTCAGAGTTTAGACTTGTCTTTGACAAAGATTGCCAGCTGGCTGGCTTCTGGTGGGGGACAAACCCCCTGGAAAAAAAAATCTTTTAAAAAAGTATTAAGAGTGGTATCCATGGCAGTACAGAGACTTCTTTAGAAACATGGTGGATCTTGTCCATGGATTCATACTGCCACAACAACCGTGAGAAAGGCAAATAGGCATTGCAACAGTTCCCTATGGTATCCCTCACTGCATGCCTTTCCACAGGTGCACACAAAAGAGTTTGGCAAACCTCAGTAAGGGCCATTATTGCATTCATTGTGCTTAATCAGACCTGTAGGCAAAACATAGTTTACAGGCTTGGCTTATGAAGGTGTTTAGCCTTGATCCCAGGACTGCCCTTTCACCCAAACCCACTAACCCAGACTGATGGAGAGAACTGGTCCCCCGGAGCTGGGATCAGTGGACTAGACCAGCGTTTCTCAACCCATGGGTTGCGACCCAAAGTTGGGTCTCAAGAATATGTGAAAGGATTGTGAACAAACTTTAAAGATCGATTCTTCTTTAAAAAGAGAAAAGCGTGGGAAACCACAGCTTTTCCTTGCAGGCTAACAGAGTTCCAGCCTGAGAGGGGATGCTTGCCCCACCACTCCTGTGTTCCCCGTATACCTAGCCCAGCCCACACATTCACCCCCTGCCCAACATACTGAGGGGCTGAGACATGGGGGCAGCAGGTTGGAAGGGAGAGGCACTGGGTTGGGACTGGCTGTCAATGTTTGCAAATGAGTCCCGGTACAAAAAAAAAAGGTTGAGAAGCACTGGACTAGATGACCTCTGGAGGTCTCTTCCAGCCCTACTTTTCTATGGTTCTAGGTGTCCAGAGTAATGGTAGACTAGCACTCCTGTTAGTGCAGGAATTTGGACCAGATAACCCTTGAATCCCTTTCAACCCTGTGATTCTCCACTTACTCTTTCTCTCCCTCCTTTTGGATCAGCTTTTCCTCAAGTAATAGCAGATTTTCCAGCAGGTTTAAGCAGTGCCATAGCAAGGTGGAAGGGGACACAAGTGGGGCAACTACCCCAGGCGCCAAAGCAAAGGGGAGCCAATAGGTGCTGCCCAGCCAGGGAGGGACATGGGACGGAGCCACGAGCTGCTTGTTTGGGGGGGCATGGGGATGGGGGAAGGGCACCTCCTGCTGCTGTATGAACTCCTGGGCAAGCATGGGCGGGCATGTGCCCCCTGGATCTGTGTGAGGTGAGGATGGTCTGCCACTGCATGCTTTGCCCTGGGTGCCAAACTTCATTGCTATGGCACTGGGTTTAAGACTTATTTTCTAAGCATTACAGTAGATCAGGGGTTGTCAATAAGGAGTATGCGAGAAGGTCTTAGGGGATATGTGCAGGCGGGTGGGGATGGAGTGCCGCCACATATGATCCTGCGTTGCTGTGCAGGCACTGCCTGCCTGGCCAGACACAGGGGACATAGGAAACTTGATGCGGTGGCTCCCTCTGCTTTGCTTTTGGCCACACAACACCCACACACATACGTACCCCCTGCCCACTCTGAGTCCAGCTGCAGGGGGTACACTGCTCTGCATCCAGCCACTGGGGGTACCGTGACCCAAAAAGTTTGAAAACCCCTGCAGCGAGTAGATCCTCTGGGCTCTGCTGAGATAACCCAGAGACAGGAGAGAGACAAAGTCCCTGCTATGCCCTGTGTCTTCTCAGCACAATTGGCTACATTCTGACCACAAAAGGTTTATCCACATCCAGAAACTGAACTAACTGATTGTTTCACATATGCTACAGGGATGCTCCGTTTTGCACTGGAAAACTCAAGCTTCTATGTTCAGAGTGAAGGGTCACTCTGTTTACATGAAGGGGAGGCAAGGCAGTACAAGCAATACAGGTGTCACCAGGCCTTGACATCTCCAGCTGCAGCGTGCGTCACTGCAAACAGTCTGGCCAAAATCTCATCACCTCCACGTTCAAGGATGAAGTTTTGGGTCATCTGCTCACACTGTATTTATGCAAACATTAATAGAACTAGCTGCCTCCTGGCCACATATACAGCCGGCCATGAACCAGGCAAGAGCAAAGATACAGCAGATGTGATCTTTGGTGCATATTTCTAACCTAGCATATTTTTTATATTCCCAAGTACATGAGCTAGGGGACATCAGGAAAGGCATACCAAGTCCAGCATGGGTACTGAGCCCATGTGTATGGATGTGTGTGGTGGGGGGAAGGGCATACAGAAGCACCCATGAAGCTGATCTCAAGGGGAAAATGATTGATTTCATATCACATAAAAGGATCTAATTTAGTAATA